AAAGGTTTTAACCGAAAAGGCAGGACAATCAGAAGTATACCCCCCCCCCCCCCCCCCCCTCCTCATACCAAGGGGGGGATACAGGGGTACAAGCTGGTCTGACCAAGACGCAAATTTGAAGCTTGGAGCGGATTTCCCACGCGGTTTTATCGAGTTAGAACCTGAAATTTTGACACGGCATCTGCATGAGTACTATAAACACAAAGGCCACTGCGCTATTTGGATTATTTTTTTATTTCGTAAGTTGGGCTGATATTAGTATTCATGGGAATATTTGCTATGCCAAAAAGTCGCAGAAAAAAAGAAAAAAGTCAAATGGCGCAGTGGCTTTTTTGTTTGTTGTACTCATGGGGATGCCGTGTCGAAATTTCAGCTTCTAATTCGAAAAAACAGCGTGGGAATCGCGAGATCCTTACGTTGCCTCAGGTATCTCGTGTGTTGTATCGGATTCTTTAATAGGCCATAACTTCTGATGGAAGATGCCGTGAGCCTTGAAACTACCATCTTTGCTCTCGCGATGATCCCAGGTACATGCACAGCAATTTTCAGCTTGATCTGAGAAACTTTTTTTCATGCTGATTTCAGTACAGGAAGTATCCCAACTATGCCGCCAATTGATAGTTATATACCTAAAATCAACTCAGATCCGAAAAATTCCGGCACCCGCGCATCCCCTATGGTCTTATACGAGCACCCGCCAAATTTGAAGTCTAAATTCGTTGAAACAGCAGAGTGGGACATGAAAGAACGAAAGTTAGCTTCTTGGTCAGACCAGCTTGTAGCAACTTTGCGAGGTGTGAACGGTGGACTAGTCAGCAGTGGGAAGGGAAAAAGGGAAGTTCTAGCAGGACACTACAAGAGACTTGGAGTGCCTTCGGAGAATGAAGCTTTTGACCAAGTGTTTAAGAAGGAGGTGGACGCATGGGCCCAGAAAGAAGAAGAGATATCGAAGGCAGACGTTGGGAACGTAGAGCTAGAAAAGGAGTTCACTGAGGACGAGGTTGAGGCGAGAGTGTGAACAAGTTGAAGTGCCACAAAGCAGCAGGGGCGGATGGGATAGTCAACGAGTTCATGACGTTTGGGGGGAAGGGGATGATCCAGTTGATGGTACTGCTATACAACTGGGTGTGGAAAAACGAGTATGCGCCAAGTAGATGGAGGGAAGGAGTGGTTGTGAACTTGTTTAAGAAAGGAGACAAGACTGACCCAGGAAACTACAGGGGTATCACACTGTTGAACACAGTAGGAAAAGTGTTTTGTAAGTTGCTGAACGATAGGATAGTGGGAGTATTGGAGAAGGAACGTAGCACTAGTGAGGGCCAGGCAGGTTTCCGACAGAAGAGGGGGTGCGTAGACCACGCATTCACGATAGGGGGAATCGTCCAAGGTAGAAAGAGGGCGGGAAAGCCGACGTATTGCTTCTTCCTGGACGTGAAAAAGGCATACGATACCGTATGGAGAAATGGGCTTTGGAAACAATTGTCCAAGTACGGGATCAAGGGGAAAATGTGGAGAGTGCTGAAGAAGATGACAGAATGTACGAAAAGCGCGGTCATGCTAGACGGACAACTGTCTAAGTTCTTCGACATTGAGCAGGGGGTCCCACAAGGTTGCAGTCTGTCCCCAACATTGTTCCAGGTGTTCATCAACGATCTGTTGGAAGTCGTAGAGGCAGTCCGGAAGGGGGTACAAGTAGGGGACACGGAAACTTCGGTGTCAGGCATGCTGTTTGCGGATGATTTTGTTGGTATGTCGGACACCCCTGAGGGACTGCAACTACAAATTGACGCGGCGAAGAAGTTTACTGATAAATGGAGATTGTCTGCCAACGTTGCGAAGAGTGCCGTCATGGTATGCAACGAGGACAGGGAGGAACCAGTAGAACATAGATGGAAGTGGGGGATCGAGGAGATTGCAGTAGTGGACCAGTACACATACCTCGGAGTAGAGATCGCAAACGACTGTTCGTGGAATGCACACATGTCCAAGGTAGCGTAAAAGGGCAAAGCACGAGCAGGGAAGCTGCACCCAATACTCGCAAACCGGCACCTCGATACACGCATCAAATTGGCGGTTTTGAAGAGCGTAATCGTACCGCCGCTAGAGTACGCCAGAGAAGTATGGGAAGGAAATAAGAAGGTATGTAGCGAAAGAACTCGAGGCGGCGCAGATGAAAGCAGCGAAAATCATCCTAGGATGCTCCAAGCGCACAAGTAATGCAGCCGTAAGGGCAGAATTGGGGATCCAATCCCTACGGTCGGGAAGAGACGCAAGGAAGCTGACATGGCAGTATCGCATGTGCGGGATGGGAGAGGAGAGGTTGCCGAAAATAGTATGGGAGGCGAAGTGGGAAAACAAAAAGAGGGGTAGACAACCCACGGAATGGGTCAAGGTTGTAGAGGACGTATGGAAGGGGTTAGACATCGACGAAGATGAAACGCTGGAAACGGAGGGTCTACAGGGGTTCAAGAAGAAGATATCTGTTGCTTGTGCCGGGAGAGAAGAACAGAATCTAAGGAAAGAATCCAAGGATAAGGAGGGTCTAGAAGTGTACGGAATGTTGAAAGAAGGAATAGGGTTCAAGGATTACCTACATGGACCAATGGATGCAGGGACAAGCTGAAGGTCAAATTCAGGACCGGGGACATAGGCCTTCGAGAACGTCGACGAAGACATAGGACGGTAGACGACGAAGACGACAAGTTCAAATGTGATTGCGGCTTCGAAAGCGAAGACCGTGTTCATGTAGTCGCGGAATGTCCGTGGTACGAAGAGGAGAGGGAAGTGTACATGACTGAGCTGGGAAAAACACAAGGGACGTACAGGGAGATGTTTGAGGCATGGAATAGAGAGGAGAGGACGGTAGCTGTACTGGGGAGTAGGAAGTGGTTTGAAAAGGCGGGAAGGGATATCCTTAGGATAGACAGACTAGGGAAGACATTTTTGAGCCACCTTTGGCAAAGTAGGAAGGAACGATTGGCCATCGGTGATCGGTCCTGTGGGAACAATGCTCCGTCCTCTCGAGGACGCGTGGTCAATGGTCTAACCGCTAAGACATGCAAAACAGAAAAGTACCCCCCCCCCCCCCCCCCCCCCCCCCCCTTTTT